CTCCTTTGCTGCTTGCACAGGGGGGGGCCTCGTATTATCGTCGTACTTCTGCCAGCACCCATGGGCGGCCCCCCTGTTTGTACCGCCCACTCATCCATGCTGCTGCCAGGAGGGTCCAGAAGTGTCTCATGGGTCCCTTGTACGGCCTCCCATTGCTGCTGTCTCCATCGCCCCCAACACTCTGGCCATGTGGCCACTCTTTCAGGTCTCCTCACATGCTGGTGTTGTGTTCCATTTTGTCATAGGGTTTGCTGGCTGCTGCAGATTACGGGCCTCCCCATTGCTGCTGCTGCCAGGCCCGTAATCTGCCATGGGGCCCCCGTACCGCCTCCCTCATGCTGCTGCCAGGTCCAGCCAGTCTCTCATGGGTCCCTGTACGGCCTCCCATTGCTGCTGTCTCCATCGCCACACTCTTGCCATTGTGCCACTTTCAGGTCTCCTCACACTGCTGGTGTGTTCCATTTTGTCATAGGTGCTGGCAGATTACGGGCCTCCTATTGCTGCTGCCCAGGGCCCGTAATCTGCCATGGGCCCCTGTACCGCCTCCTCATGCTGCTGCTGCCAGGTCCAGAGTCCTCTCATGGGTCCCTGTACGGCCTCCCATTGCTGCTGTCTCCATCGCCACACTCTGCCATGTGCCACTTTCAGGTCTCCTCACACTGCTGGTGTGTTCCATTTTTGTGTCATAGGGTGCTGGCAGATTACGGGCCTCCCATTGCTGCTGCCAGGGCCTGTAAGAAGACACAAACTGAACCACAAAAATCTGCCATGGGCCCCTCTACCGCCTCTCATGCTGCTGCCAGGTCCACAGTGTCTCATGGGTCCCTGTACGGCCTCCCATTGCTGCTGTCTCCATTGCCACACTCTGCCATGTGCCCACTGCTGGTGTGTGTTTCATTTTGTCATAGGGTGCTGGCAGATTACGGGCCTCCCATTGCTGCTGCCAGGCCTGTAATCTGCCATGGGCCCCTGTACCGCCTCCTCATGCTGCTGCCAGGTCCACAGTGTCTCATGGGTCCCTGTACGGCCTCCCATTGCTGCTGTCTCCATCGCCACACTCTGCCATGTGCTACTTTCAGGTCTCCTCACACTGCTGGTGTGTTCCATTTTTTGTCATAGGGTGCTGGCAGATTACGGGCCTCCCATTGCTGCTGCCAGGCCTGTAATCTGCCATGGGGCCCCAGTACCGCCTCCTCATGCTGCTGCCAGGTCCAGAGTCTCTCATGGGTCCCTGTACGGCCTCCCATTGCTGCTGTCTCCATCGCCACACTCTGCCATGTGCCACTTTCAGGTCTCCTCACACTGCTGGTGGGTTCCATTTTTTGTCATAGGGTGCTGGCAGATTACGGGCCTCCCATTGCTGCTGCCAGGCCCTTAATCTGCCATGGGCCCCTGTACCGCCTGCTCATGCTGCTGCCAGGTCCACAGTGTCTCATGGGTCCCTGTACGGCCTCCCATTGCTGCTGTCTCCATCGCCACACTCTGCCATGTGCCACTTTCAGGTCTCCTCACACTGCTGGTGTGTTTCATTTTTTCATAGGGTGCTGGCAGATTACGAGCCTCCCATTGCTGCTGCCAGGCCCGTAATCTGCCATGGGCTCCCGTACCGCCTCCTCATTCTGCTGCCAGGTCCAGAGTCTCTCATGGGTCCCTGTACGGCCTCCCATTGCTGCTGTCTCCATCGCCACACTCTGCCATGTGCCACTTTCAGGTCTCCTCACACTGCTGGTGTGTTCCATTTTGTCATAGGGTGCTGGCAGATTACGGCCATCCCATTGCTGCTGCCAGGCCCGTAATCTGCCATGGGCCCCCGTACCGACTCCTCGTGCTGTGACGTTGCAACAAGGTGGAATTCAACCCTCCATATGTTAGACCGCCTTTACGAACAGCGAAAGGCCATCACAGATTTCCTGATGTTACAAGCGGATAAAGGTACTCCCCTGTTTAACTTTGATGTCAGCCATTGGCAGCTCATGCGTGACACCTGCCACTTGCTGAGGCCCTTTGAGGAGGCCACGCTATTCGTGAGTCGGCAGGACTGTGGGATGAACGACGTCATTCCTCTGTTGCACGTCCTGGAACAAATGCTGTTAACAATGGCTGGTCAGGGTGCGGTAGACGTGGCGCACAGATCTCAACGCCACATGACCCCTGTGGGGGCAGGACAGGAAGAAGAGGAGGAGGTAGAGGAGGACATTGGTGCTCAGGAATTATTGAGTGAAATGGGGTGGTTTTTCCACTCAGGGGACAGGAGTGGAGGAGCAGGAGCATCTGGTAGAGGAGGAGGAGGAGGAGACAGAGGACCCAGACGCACCGTGGCAGTATGCTGTGGAGATGGAGGCAGGGAGTCCCTCACATTCCTTGGCACAAATGGCCCATAGCATGCTCGGTTGCTTGCGTAGCGACAGCCGAATAATAACCATCAGACAGAGGGATGACTTTTGGCTGTCCACCTTGTTGGACCCTCGCTACCGTTCAAAAATGGTGGCCTTTTTCACACCTGCTGAGAGGGAGGCCAAAATAACGTACTATAAAAAACCACCTATGTAGTCAGTTGGTCTCTGCCTTTCTGCGCCAACGTCCATCCTCAGACACTGTGGGCCCTGTGCGCTCGCGTTCCGCTGCCATGGCAGCAGGGGAGGGGTGGGGTGGTAGGAGCAGTGGCAGCTCCACCAGCAGCGGCTGCCTCAGTCTGCAGTCGATGATGAGTAGCTTTCTTCACCAGCGCAGTGAGGAAACTACTAACCAGCCGCAGCAGCAGCAGCATCAGGTGGACCTGGAGCAGGACCTCAAACAACAGGCTTGGGCCTACTTGGACAGCACCCTGCCAACCGAGGTAGACAATCCCCTTGACTACTGGGCAACGAAACTTGACCTTTGGCCCCAACTAGCTGAATTTGCCCTTGAAAGGCTGTCATGCCCGGCCAGTAGCGTGGCATCGGAGCGCGTGTTTAGTGCGGCAGGAGGTATTGTAACTCCGCGGAGGACACGACTGTCCACCCAAAGTGTGGAGAGACTCACGTTTGTGAAAATGAATCAGGCGTGGATTAGTCTGGATTTCAACCACCAGTTCCTGACACAACTGACTAAATCCGCCATGAATCATGCCCCAAACATGTTAACTCTGCCATGTGCCACTTTCAAGTCTCCTCACACTGCTGGTGGGTTCCATTTTGTCATAGGGTGCTGGCAGATTACGGGCCTCCCATTGCTGCTGCCAGGCCCGTAATCTGCCATGGGCCCCTGTACCGCCTCCTCATGCTGCTGCCAGGTCCAGAGTCTCTCATGGGTCCCTGTACGGCCTCCCATTGCTGCTGTCTCCATCGCCACACTCTGCCATGTGCCACTTTCAGGTCTCCTCACACTGCTGGTGTGTTCCATTTTGTCATAGGGTGCTGGCAGATTACGGGCCTCCCATTGCTGCTGCCAGGCCCGTAATCTGCCATGGGCCCCCGTACCGCCTCCTCATGCTGCTGCCAGGTCCAGAGTGTGTCATGGGTCCCTGTACGGCCTCCCATTGCTGCTGTCTCCATCGCCACACTCTGCCATGTGCCACTTTCAGGTCTCCTCACACTGCTGGTGGGTTCCATTTTTGTCATAGGGTGCTGTATGGCCTCCCATTGCTGCTGCCTCCACCGCCACACTGTGGCTCCACACTCTGGTTTTGGCCCCGTGACTGCCAAATGAGTGAAGTGTGCGGTGATTCTAAGATCGACGGCACTCATCTGCATGTCATACTGACTGACAGTATTATTTCTCTTCCCCAGCAGACTCCAAGGGCATTTAAATTAAAGGTACAGTGTTCTGCACTAATATAAAGGCTCTCTGAAGCCTAGAAACACCCTTTTATAAGTTAAATTCGCAGCGAATATATTCGCATCGAATCGAATTTATTCCTCGAATTCGCCGAATCAGCCGAATCAAATATTTGAATACTTCGCTCATCTCTACCTGCCACCATTAATAGCTCATTCCACTGACATTGTCCTGAAGTGATTACTAGCTCCTGCCACAATTATAAGCTCCTTTCACCTCTTCTGCCATGACACCAATACTAGCTCCTGCAACCGTTGCTGATCTGCCACCATTACCATCTCCTACTGTCATTACCAACTCCTTCCACTGCTGCTTGTCTACCACCAATACCAGCTTCTTTGACCAAAGCTGGCCTTGACCATGACCAGCTACTGCTACTGCCGCTGGTATGCCATCATTACCATATCTTGTTACCATTACCAGTTCATTGCAGCTTGCCTGCCATAATTACCATTTTCTGCCACTGCTGTTGGCCTGCCACCATTACTTTCTTGTGCTTCCTTTACTGCACTGTATTGGTGCTCCTTGGTGCCACATATAATTTTTGCACAGCTGGGAGCCAGCTGCAAAATTTGTCAAATTATTTCTGCAGGGTCAACCCTGCTTTGCATCTCAAAGTTTCTGGCCTGTTCCAGTGATTGGGAACTGTAAAGGTGCAACACATATTATCTCTGCACCTGTGCTTGCTTCAGGGTAAATCATGCTCTGTGTGGCTTATTCCACTGCTCAGGAAATCAAAAAAACAGTATTTTGGGCTATTGTCTGTCTGAAATAGTGCACTCTAATTATGGTTTATTGGTTAAAACCTGCCTGGTCTCTTCAGGTTAAACTGTAGCCTGATAAAAGTACAATTTTTCCTGGCACTGCTCAGTGAAACCAAAACACTCTAAAGTAAAAGCAGCCTAAATGGAGTCTGGCATGAGACTGCTTTTACTGTAGATACTGTCAGGCTTTGTGTGATGTGCGGCACTTATGGATACTCTGTTTTCCTTTTATGTTTGTGTTTATCATGCTGACATGAGCTACCTCCCAGCTTGCACTCCTCAGCGTGAATCACTGGATCTGGACTGACAAGAGTCTGGAGTGACTGCTGGTTGAAAAAAACATTCTAAGGTTGGATTAAAAGCCTAAAGTTGTCTATCCTGTTCAAAATGTGGCCTACCTAAAGTTCATTTATTACTTGTTTTGTAAAATATATACACTTTCTTGTGTGCTTTTGGACTGAAAAATGTCTCTTTGGACTGTGTGTCCTTTTGATACTGTGGTCTACTCCACGTGTTTAATACTGTCTGTGGATTATGTTCCTTCTTTTTTCTGTTAAATAATTACACTTTTGCATGGGCTGAAACGCTGCATGCTGTGTGTCCTTTTTAAAATGTGACTGTCTGTGGCATCTACAATATTTCTGACTAATGTCTCCCAAATAATACATTTTTTTTTCATGATAAAAACTTTCTAATCTTTCTTTCTTACATTGAAGCTCAATCAAACAGCTTGCATACTCTCCAGCTACTATGTTACAGTATATAAGTGGCGGTTGTCTCTGAAAGTTGGTATTCTAATTCCTAGTTTAAGATGAACACTGTCTGGTTTCTAGAATATGGGGTTGTGGTTTTTAGGTATTTTTGTGGAGTCTGTTTTTAAATATTATCATCATTTTACCACATTACAATACTGCAATAAAAGAAAATCACAAGCTATACCATGAAAGAGATTTGCAAACACATAAAACTTTTATATCTGTTGTGACTTGTAATTCCACTGCTCAATTCAGGCCTATTACTTTTAGTAACATCACATACAGCTTAAGGCACTAGTACAGTCCAACCAAAAAAAAAAAATTGGCCCTGGGTAGTTTATACTAGCACATTATGAAAGACTTACCTTAAAAACAAAGCCCTCCAGTATCACCACTTTTGGGCACTTCTGTCTTCACCCGGTCTTCTTTATGGGTTTGCATTCTCTGGTCCTTTGAATGGCCAGGCGATAATGACATCACTCCCACATATATGCATGATAGCCATAGTCGCACAACACTGTCAATGGAAGGCATACTCCAGTACGTCCATACAGAGCACAGTGAGCCATTCGCATCACTGGCTACTACAAGTGTGAATCCCTTCTAAACAATATACATTTAGTAGATATTCACTGTACCTACAAGTGAGCCTTATTATAGTCATAAAGTGGAGCATGCTACAGCTTTAACGGCATCTCTCAAGTATGTATTAAAAAGGTATGGTGATTTTAACCATGTAGCCATTAAAGTTACATAAAAAAGTACCCTTTTCCTGCTGTT